CCCGTCTCCCACGCTCTCCTGCCCCGGTGTCTAGCTTAGCTTCTGCGCACCGTTAGCATCCGAGTGCTGTTTGAGAGGTTCCCTCAGCATAGCCCCGAGGAGCCGTTGTCGACTTTTGCATTATTTGTAGGTGTGCGTGTGCGTGTGTGTGTGTGGTGTGTGTGCGTGTGTGTGTGTGTGTGTGTGTGTGTGTGTGTGTTGCGTGTTTCTAGCATAAAGAGGGATTATTCGCCGGTGGGCTTGACGTATTCGAAATCAGCTTTCATAGCTGCTGTGAGACCGGCAGTGAGCATATCGCACCACTAGAGGGCAGTTGTCTCAACCCAGAGCATTCTCCACTCCACAAATGCTCACCTGCCTTTTAGCTGGCTCCTGCCTGTTCTTAGTCTCTTAGGCTGGAATGCTGCTTGTGTACGGTTGATTCGTCTGTCCTGGTGGATCTTACCCCTCCCTGTTGCAGAGACAATAAAACCGTGGGGCAAGTCAAGTGGAGCAGAGAGAAGCACAGCAGAGAAGGAGGGAGAGGAATTAGGAGAGTTGGCATTTTAAGAGAGCGATTGGAGAAGAGAAGAGTGCAAGCCCTGCTCAGTCTTGTGCCGCTGTTAGCAGTGGGAACAGTGCACACGCGTGTCCACCCTGACCTTTTTTCTTTCTTTCAATTTATTCTTACGCGATTTCTAACACACGCACATACATGCACATACACACACACTTTGGTCGAGGCCTTCCCATGCAACCTGAGGCTGGCCTCCACCACACCTCGCTTCCTGATACATTTACGGGGCAGCAAGAAACCGGAGAAGATGGCTGGGGAAGTCTAGTCATAATAGTGGAGGCAAGGAGGTGGTAGGACAGAGGGGACAGGGCAAAAAGGCGTTTTCAGGAGGTGAACTCTGATGAGATTGCTGGCTGTGGCCATGAGTTGGGGAGAGTCAGGATGGAACGAACAGTGCTTTCCATCAGCACCACCCAGGGTTGCTTCTGAAACTCCCTGCGGTAAGTAGGAGGATAAAATGAGCTGCAGGTGTCTTGGTGTGTGGGACAAGGGGAGAAGAATAAGAGGAGAGACATGGGCATTGAGGGTGTGGGACGAGTGGTAGATGACACCCCAGAGCTTCAGGAGAGTTAAGAGCACATGTATATTCCTGGGAGGATATAGGGAGGAGCTGACCCTGGGCAGCCAAAGGGACTTGAAGAAGGAATTCCAAGCCTTGGAAGGAGTATTCTGAGACTGCTTGCAGAGCTGGGGTCCAAGTTAAGTTTATTCGGACTCCGTGTAGGTCATAGGTACCTCAAGTAACACCAGTATTGTTAAATATTCCATTCTGCAATTTGTAGCTGCGTGTTTAAAATATGCAATGACTAAAATGGTTCCCACCATCACAGATTTGTGTCTGTGTGCACTGGGATGCATCTATGAAGAATGGTAGACTGAATGGACAGACTTGTAAGTAGCTGCCCTAATAATTAGTGGCTGGCAGTGTGTGTTGGGAAATAAACTCCTGAGTAAAAGTAAGAGGGAGAAGGATCTAGGAGGAAAGGGGAGGGTGAGCACCAGGAGGAGGAGCAGATGGCCACCACTACAACCCCTATTGCTATCAACCTGATGTCACTAAAGTACAGTGGGGAAGAATTGGGTATCATTCAGTTTTGACGCTGGCACACACAGCTTCTGCACATTCTATCTGCGGCATCTGAAAAGCAGGCTCTTGCTGCTCTGTGCATTCCTCCCCAGCTCTAGCTCTGTCTTGGATGCAGTACTATGACAATAAGCAGAGACTCAGATAGCAGACAGATTTTGAATGTCACATCTCAGAACCTCAGCTTCCTCACCCCTAAATGGACTGTCCTTATGTAGCTCTCAGAGTCCTCTCTGCATAGCTGCACTGTGACAAATCACTGGATGTTGAAGAGTAGACTTTAATGCTGAACTGGCTCTTGTAGCTTGTTTTGACCTCTATGTTGCCACTGTCTATGGGGCTGGGATCCTTACAGTGACTTTAGATGGGTTTGACTTTTATCATTTTACTTTCTTTTTTAAATAGCAGATTAATTAAAATTTTTTCAGTGTTTTGTTTGTTTGAGACAGGGGCTTACTATGTATCCTTGGTTGTCCTGGAACTCTATCGACCAGGTTGGCTTCAAACTCAGAGACTGCCCTGCTTTTGCCTCTAGAGTATTGAGATTAAAGGCTTAGACTGTCCTAGTTAGGGTTACTATTGCTATGATGAAACAGCAACATGACCAAAAGGAAGTTGGGATGGGAGTGACTTAATTTCCACATGATAGTCCATAACTGAAGGAAGTCAGGGCAGGAACTCAAATAGGGCAGGAACCTGGAAGCAGGAGCTGATGCAGAGGCCATGGAGGAGTGCTGCTTACTGACTTGCTCCTCGTGACTTATTCAACCTGCTTCCATATAGTACCCAGGACCACCAGTGCAAAGGTGGCCCCACCCACAATGGGCTGAACCTTTTCCCTTCAATCACAGTAAGAAAATGCCCAACAGGCTTGTCTACAGCCAGATCTTATGGAGTCATTTTCTCAGTTGAGATTTCCTCATCTCAAATGACTCTTATCGTGTGTCAAGTTGACATAAAGTGAGCTGGCACAGGCAAAATTTAATTTTTTTAAATTTATGCATGCGTATGCTAAGGCCAGAAGAATGTGTTGGATCCTCTAGTGATGGAGTTACAGGAAGTTGTGATCTGCCTGACATGGGTGCTAGGAACTAAGGACCTTTGGAAGAGCAGCAAGTGTTCTTAACTGCTAAGCCATCTCCAGCCTCATCATTTCCTACTGCTTACTTTAATATGGAGTAGGATTGTGCCTGCCTTTGTTCCCCACCTCCGCTCTATCCTCACTTCCCTTTCGTGTCTCTCTTGTCCTCCTCTCTTAAGTGTGTGGTCCTGTCCTCATGAGAACCTCTGTGGGTCATTCCTTAGAGACTTTAAGTTACTGTGCTGTAGCCCTTGCTTTCTTTGGTCTTAAGGTCTCCATAGCAACTGTAAGTAATTGATGAACCAAATACCGTGTTTGTTAAGTGAGACTGAATGAGTCTCTGCACAGGAGCTCAGAGTCCATCAGGAGCAGGTCATCTTTGAGCCATATCTGTCTGCTGTGTAAGGAGGGGGGCAGGAGGGAGTCCATGGGAGCTCAGCAAAGGGGATCTGGGCTTTAGCCAGAAAGGTGGGTGCTGAGGCTATTGGGGGAACATCAGTGAGTTTGATGGGTGATAGGGGTTGGGGAAGGAATGAGAGGATAGAGATGGTGCATTTATCTACCTTAGCATGGAAAGTTCAGTGGCTTTGACTTGGGAGTGGAGTAGGTGTCATTCAGATGAGACTGTCTTCATTGGGGAGCAACATGGAGACAAAGGGAACTGGCTCCACCCATATGTGCAGGGGAGCACCCTCCAAGAGGCTTCTGCTGCAGGAAATGCGATCTCAGGAGAAGCTATGGTTTGTTCTGGTGGTTGCTCACCCTGTATCCTCAAGCACTCTTGTACAATAAGTCCAAGGAGCCTGAGAACCCTGAACCTAGAAGAGGATGTCCAGGCCTCTGTGCAGTACACTTGTTTTGTAAACCGTGAAGCCCCAGGGCTGCTGCTACCTTGGGCTATGACACAGATGTTGAGCCTCTACACTGGATAGTCAGGTAGCCAGTGCACATCATCCTGAAGGCTCATGGTTAACCAGAGTCTCCAGTTTCTTAGAGTTTTGTTTCCAAAACTCTTTGATAACCCTGTTAACAGGAATTCAGTGGGAGTTGTACCATCAGTCATGGCCTAACCTCAGCTAAGGCTGTAGAAACTTGGTTAACTCATATAGCTGTATGCCAGCACTAACTTCAGTCTAAGCTACCATCCTGGTTCAGACTTTGGAGCTCCTTGGGACTGGACAGGAACCTGGGGGAGAGGGCAGGTGAGCATAGAGAAGCCCTAGGGACAGGGTTGCTGGAGGCCTGGGACAATTATACTCTGCTGGAGTTGCTAGCTCAGTTGCCAGCCTCCTTGCCTGGAATCCCTGAGATTGCTTTTTGGCCAGATTCCAACGACACTTCTGGAATCTTAGGGTGTCACCCTAGGTACTAGAAAGCGGGTGCATTACCTAATATGTACCCAGTAGATTTGGAAGATGTTCCTGGTATCTGTGCATGTATGTCATTGGCAAGTCAGAGGCCATTGAAGAGCTTAGAATATGAATCAGGCACTTACTGCTAACCTCTCCCCACACCCTGGACCATAGTAGCATCCTGCCAAGGAATGGAGACTCAGCACAAGTTCTTCACTCTCTGGATGCACAAGTTCTGGTGTCAGTAGAAAATCCTTGCCTTACCACTTACCTGTATTACCTCAGGAACTCCCAAGGCCATGGTGTTAACCTACAGGAGTGCATCAACCCCTCTGTTGCCCTCCATGATGCTGTTCCTCCCATTTCTGAAGTGGCGGCAGAGGGTTGAAACCTGCTGTCCTTGCTGACATAGTAGGGTGCAGCTTGGTTTGTTCATCCTGAGTTGATACACAGATACTCAGGTATGTCTCTGTTCCACATTTTGGAGCAACACAGCACTCCCTAAATTAGGAGCAGAGCACACACTTCATTGAATCCATGCACAGCAGGTCTCTGAGAGGTTGGCCTAGAGGCTTGTGAAAACTTTCCCTCTAAATTTGATGGATACCTGTGCATTTTCTATTTTTTTTAAACACTGTCAGCCATTTGATTTTTTTTTTTGAATGCCATATTTTGAAGTGAGAGAAAAACACTTGCTCATTTTAAGTGCTTTTCTGAAAAAAAAATAATTCACAGACGGGGATAACTTCATTTCAAAAATAAAAATACAACTTCCCAATATTCTACAATATGGCTTTGTTCTCTAAATTATAAAATCAAGGCAGCTTGAGAGCAGTGCAGAGCCGGATGGCAGCAGAAGGCTTGGAACTGAAGGCACAGACCGAGTTCAGCAACTTGCAATTTTTCTTCACTGGGAACCTATTTGAACTTAAATTATGCACAATAAATGTCAAATCTTCCCCCATTTATCTTAGTAACTTAGGAATCCTGTATATTGGGAAAAGCTCTTTGTACATCAAAGCCCCTTAACAATGCAAGTTGTCTCATCTTCTCGTGGGAGGAACTGTCAGCTTGATTGATGTGATCAGGGGAGTGAGGGCTGCTGTGAGGAGAGCCCCAGTGCACAGGCTTCTCTCTTCTGCCTCAGCTCTGATTGCTTGCTCTGTGGAAAGCCCTTTTAGGGCAGCCTCTACATATTAGCACCTGCCATCTATCCCCATGAGTCACCTTTAGAATCATGCCACCATCAGGAGCAGAACCCACACCAAGCCTAATGACTCAATACAGCCAAGTCTCTGTCTATCAGTAACAAGGAAGGGACAGGTATGCAAGAATGTATTCTTCAAAACTTAGCCGCACGGTAGCCTCATGTCCTGTCCTCTCCTCTGAGCTAACACAGTGGGTGTACAGGAGCTGGGTCTTGTGAACTTGACAGTAGCTCCTAAGACTTACCCTAATATGAATGTTCAAGCTGGGGCAGCATTCCCTACAACCACACTCCCATGCAGGAAGTAGTCGAATATTGAAGGTGTCACCTTAGTGGCTAAGACCAGGAGCCCAACAAGGTCAGGAATTGAAGCTTGTGCTCCACCAGAATGAAAGACTCACCTCTCTCTCTTGTTAGTCTCATGTGGGACAGTCTGACCTTGGACTTTGTAGTCCTGGATGATACTGAATTCCTGACTCTTCTGCCTTTGTCTTCCCAATGCTGAGCTTACAGGTGTGTACCACCACCCAGGTATATGCTGACACACAAGTGTGTGCCACCAATGCCTTTCTATCTTCTCTGAACTAGTTTCTTCATTGTCAATAGTTAGGAGTAACAGTTCCTAGCCTAGTATAGGGCGGTAGGAAGGCACCAAGAAAGTAAACTAAAATTCTACATAAACCTTACTTGTAGCCTCAGTGAGAGATATTTTTGTTATTGAACTTCAGAGAGGTGGGAATCATTTATGGGTCCCCATACATACATACATACATACATACATACATACATACATACATACCCACTCATAGAAGTACTAGATGTCTGATCCAGCCCTTCTTGGAGGACCTTTGCTAAGCGTAAAGCTGGCAGCTGGTGCTTTCCTCATCAGGGAGCTGCTACCCTCTGCTGGTCGTGAGAGGTGAAGCAGCTCAGTACCCACCTTGGAAAGTCCTGGAAGAAACCAAGGTAATGGATTTTTTGATTGGAATTTTGTTTTCACAAAAGCATCCTAGGAGCAGAAATCCCTTGAGAGCAGAAGCTGAGCCCTACCCCTATAAGCTGGCAGAATCTCTACACTCTAGCAAACCCACTGTAAGTTCCTGGATCTTTTATCAGCCTTTTGATTGGGGGTGAGGTCATTAGGATGCGTCTAAGCTATAGACACATCCTGGCCCTACCTTTGGCCTTAGCCCTCACCTGCTGCCAGAGGTGGGGAAGTGGGAGGAAGAGGAAGGGAGAGCAGGAAAGAGAAGTGAGTGGAAGCAGTGCTGTGTGTGTGTGTGTGTGTGTGTGTGTGTGTGTGTGTGTGTGTGTGTGTGTACAAATTTGCATTCCTTGACAGAAGACCCACAGTAACTTGACAGGGGCCCAGTAACCCCACAAAACACAACAGGTCTCTCCCCTTTGGGGTTCTGGGGAAGATGCCCAGGCTGCACCTAAAGAATGGCTGATTGTTCTATATCTAGTTCAAGGATGAGACGTTTGGGGTGAGGTCTTCACAGGAGACCCAGGTGGCCTTCAGCCAGGCCTCTTGTTTATGACTGTGAAATTTTGATGAACATGACCCATGTCCTGGGAAAAACATCCCATGTAGTCCTTGTGGTTTATTACTATTTTGATGTAGAAATCAAGTCTCAACTTAGAGGGGAGGGCATAGTGTCCCCTGTACCAAGTGAAGCAGGAAACAGCATCTGAGCACATGGGCTGCTCTCAGATCTGAGATGTCCTGGTTCTCCCAGGGCGGAAGCCAAACCCACAGGTTCTTTTGGGAGACAGAACCCATATGGCAGTTTCTGCCCTAGCTTCTCTCTGAGCTGGAATGTCTGGCTGTCCCTTTAGGGATCCCTGTCTCTCCTCAGTCTTTCTGCCAACCATCTGCAGGAGTCACCTTAACCCAATGTCAAGCTGGTGGTGGTGGCACACACCTTTAATCCCAGCACTTGGGAGGCAGATCTCTTTGAGTTTGAGGCCAGCCTGGTCTACGGAGTGAGTTCCAGGGTAGCCCAGGTTACACAGAGAAACCCTGTCTTGAAAAACCAAACCAAACCAACCAACCAAACAAACAAACAAAAAACCCAATCGTCTAATACTACTGTTAGTGAAACTTTCCATGATTCCTCAGGAAATGTGAGAGCCCCTCTAAACCTTACCTAGATGCTGAAGCCAGCCAGAGGGCCTTAGGCCCCCTTATGCCTCCTTGTGATCTGATATGCCATTTCTCCTTAGGCTTTCCTGTGCTGACTATCAAAGCTGATGTATCTATGCTTCCATTCCCTGAATTGTGAGTGAGGCCTCACTGGTACATGAAGTTTTTGGATATAATCAAGCTGAGAGGCTTTTAAAAATTCTTTATTATGTATATGGGTATTTTGTTTGTGTTATGTCTGTGTATCACGTATGTGTCTAGTGCTTGTAGAGGCTAGAAAATAGCGTTGGAATCCCAGGACTGGAAATACAGATGGCTGTTAGCCACCATTCTGGGAACTGAGTCATGATCCTCTGGAAGAGCAGCCAGGGTTCAGTTAACTGCTCACCCATCTCTCCAGACCCAAGTTGAGGATCTTGAGAGGATGACATGGTTTTCTGGGGCCCCAGATACTGTGGAATAGGGGCAAAGGGAGAAAAACAGAGGAGCAGGTGAGATGGAGACTGAGGGGCCATTGCAGTGATGTACCCTAGTTGTCTCTGTGCCTAGAAGGCAGAAGGAAGGACCTTAGACCTTCTGGAAAGAGCCTGGGCCAAGCCCACAGTGAGGCTAGATGTGAACCCTGATATCCTTAGCTGAGGGAGAGTACACTTCTGTTGCTGAAAGTCATGAAGTTTGTGGCAATTTATTACAGTAACTTGATGAACCAACCAGTATACCAAATCATCCCTCTTTCTCTGGGCTCCTCTGTTGTTTTGACACTTGCTCTTTACCAGGGATATTATTTTATGTAGCCCTTGAAATTATAATATAGTTATGACATTTCTCCCTTCCCTTTCCACCCTCAAACCCTCCCATGTACCCCTCCCCACTATCTCTTAAGTTTATGGCATCCTTTATGGCATGTATGTATGTATGTATGTATGTGTATATACATATATTCCTAAATGTAAGCTGTTGAGTCTGTATAATGCTACCTGTATATATGTTTTCAGGGCTGACTGTTTGGCACTGGACAACCAGTTGATGTGCCCTGCCCTAGGGAAGACAGCCTCTCCCACTCCCAGCTTTCCTTGGTTGCCTTTGGTTCTTTATGTAGGGTACAGGCCTTGTGGGCTTTTCCTTGTCCACTTTGGCATGTCTGTTGGGGCTGTCCTTGTTCAGTTCATGTTTGAGAAGTCATGTTGGTGAGACTTTATGGATGTAGCTTCTGATATTATTAGGAGACACAATCTTACAGCCAACCAACATACTGATCTGGCTCTTACAGTCTTTCTGCCCCCACTTCCACAATGTTGTCTGAGCCTTATGTACAGTAATGTTTTGTACATGTGTCCACTGGTACTGGGCTCTATAACTCTACATTTTGATTGGTGGTTTTCTGTAGTGGTCTCTGTTTGTTGAGAAGAGAAGGTTCGTACATGTGTCCACTGGTACTGGGCTCTATAACTCTACATTTTGATTGGTTGTGGTTTTCTGTAGTGGTCTCTGTTTGTTGAGAAGAGAAGGTTTCTTGATGATGGGTGAGGACTATACTTACCTGTGGGTATAAGAACAGACAAATGTTTAGATTATTGTTAGGGATTATGGTGGTTTAGTAAATTTGTGGCTATAGATTCTCCTCCAATATTCAATATAAAGTCACTAGCAGTAAGTAGTTAGCTAGGTTGCCAGTACCAGACATCATTTCCTTTTTGAATGGGACTTCAGTCCAATTAGAGGGCTGTTGGTTACTGCCAAGGTATGTGAGCCACTACTGTACCTTTAGGGTTATTGTGACATGCTGGTTGTTGATGTAGTTTATAAATGTCATAGCTGTGTAGACTGTTGGCTTGGAAACTTGCATGGTGTCTTCTTATACCATGAAAGGAAGACCTCAGGGAAGGGGCATTTAGGTCAGTTCTAGCTCAAGGGTCTCTGGATCCAGTTTCTGGATAGGTATCTTCAGTGCATGGTATCTTTAGCAATAGGGACTTACTCTCCACTCCAGGGGAGTGGTGACAACCAAGGACAAAAGCAATACAGTTTATATTTTAGGAGTCTCTTGGATAGCCTTACCATAGACACTTTGAAACCATTCTTTTCAATCTGTGATGGTTTTTCACATAGTAGAAACTTTACATTTTAGATAAATTTAGCTTAATTTTTCTTCCAATTATGGTTTTGGAATTGTCTCTAAAAACTCATTGCCAACCTGAGGTCACAAAGGTGTTGCCTATTTTTTTAAAAAAAAAATCTTATGTGTTTATTATGCCTTGCCTTTAGGTCTATAATGCATTTGAGCTACTTTTTGAGAGGAGTCCATCTTTGTCTGAGTTACTTGTTTTGGGCTTGTGAAATCTGGGGATTTCAGCACCTTTTGTAGAATGACTTTCTTTGTACCATTGTTATATCTTAGCTCCTTTGTCAAGATATGTTGGTACTTGTATGGGTCTATTTCTAGACTAGCTATTCCATCCTATTGTTTTTATTTATTTACTTAATTTCAAGTATAATGCTGCCTTGCCTTTTGTCACTATACGAAAAACTTATTTGAAGTTAGTGTCGATCTTCTGTTTTGATGATTCTGGAATTCTGGTGTTAATTCTTTTGGTGCTTGTGCACTGTTGTAGGGCTTATACCCAGGAAAGAAATGGGCTTTCATGTGGTGACTCTGTCCTGCAGCTTGGCTATGATCACTTATATCTCCAGAAGGTATTTTTGTTGTTGTTGTTGTTGTCCACTCATTGGAATTTCCCTCATAGGCAATTGGATAATTGGAATAGAAACTTTTGTTTCCTTTGCTCATCTACCTACATTTCTTTCCCTTTCTGTATTATTTCATCTTCCATTAGCTGGAGCGTCTCTATGATACCAAGTAGGAATGGTGACATGGGCAACCCAGTCTCATACTTCCTGATCACAGGTGAAAATAATCTACTTTCTCACCATTAAGGAAGAAGTCAACTTTAGGGTATTTTGTAAATGTTCTTTCTTAATTTGGGGGAATTCCACTCTACTAGAATTTTACTAAGTTACTATAAAACTATCCTTTCTTTTAAAATCAGTCTATAACACTGTTTTCCAGAATCAACAGTAGAGACGTTTCTAGAACCATCTCTTGCCACACTGCTGCTCTGTAGATGCTGTCTTTACCCTCATTCCCTACATGTTGTCCTATCTGTCCCCAGTCATCCAGTCTCCACCACTTAAGTCTTTCCTAGGCCCTTTTTTCATCTTGGAAAAGTGGCCAGGCCACTAAAGGTTCAAAATGGGATCTAATCAACCAGTTGTTTTGTTTTGTTTAGGGCAAAATTTCCTTTATGAAGCAGATTTAAGCAGTCAACTTGCCCAGGTCGGTTCTCCATTGCCTGTCTCTTTGGACTCATCACCACTATGCGTCATGCCTCAGGCTCAGATCCTGCCTGGAAAATGTCAGATGAATTTTTGTTGGCATATGTGCTACCTGAACAGTCCCCTGCCAGAACCTTTGCTGTGAGCAATCCAAAAGCTGGCCAAGCTCCTCAAGGCTGGCCAGGCTCCAACCCTCGGAGTAACCTAAGTGCTCCACCTGCTGTGCTATCTGGACTCTCCCCAAGTACAGCACCCTCCACTTTGCCTTTTGGACCAGCACCAACAGGAATTTATCCTTCCATCCCTCTGACTGGACCATCACCAGGTTCCCCACCACCCTTTCTTCCTTCTGAACTGTCATGTCCCCAACCCAGTGGTCCTTATCCAGCCCCTGTCGTAAGAGGCCCTGGTCCCATAGGGCCGTATGCTACACCAAATATGCACCTTCCAGAGCTACCTAGGCAATATGGTGCACCCACAGATCCAGCTGCAGCTGCTACTTCAGGTACACGGGGATCCATGTCTTCTGGACCTTGGGCACCAGGAATTGGGGGGCAGCATCCTAATGTGCCATATCGGTCCCCGGGGCCACATCCCACTGTTCCTCCTCCAGTGTCAGGAGCACCACCTGTTCCATGGGGCACTGTGCCACCAGGACCCTGGGGACCACCAGCACCATATCCTGACCCTGAAGGATCATATTCCATGCCAGGACCTCATCCTACTCTGAATAATCCTTACCAAGTAACATCAGGACCTTCTGGTACCCCACCAATACCTGGTGACCCCCGTGAAGTGAATGAAGTCCCAGGGGGGTCCCGTCCTGATACATCCAACCAGGAGAGCACCCCAGAGACCACTGGACAAATGAAGCAACTGAAGGTAGATGACAAACCCATCAAGAGGAGACGGTCCAAAAAGAAGAGTAAGCCGGTAACTTGGGGAGACATCAAGACATTAACTCATGAAGCTGAGACCTTGGGGAAACAGCAAGGACACAATACTGCTGACCCCAAAATGATGCTGTTATGTTTAATGACTATACTACATGTTAATTCTCAGCGTGGGAATGCAGAATCCAAATGAATTGTCAGCAGTAATAAATGGCACACTGTAATAAACAGTATGATGTTGTTTTGTCAAAAAAAAAAAAAAGGAAAAAACAAAAATAAAAAACCCCATCACCATCAGTCAACTGTTTTGTTCTGGGCTTTGTCCAACTTTGTGGGCTTGGTTGTTAGTGGGTACCTTCAAGAAACAGCTAGGTCCTCAAGTGTCATCAATATACCAGTCAGCGACAAGTTTTAGCCTTCTCTAGATGCAGAAGACACAGAGCAGTCACAGCTGAAGGCTTCCCAGTAGCCCTAGTTCTCCATTAGGGTCTGCCCCCATCCCTCCAGGTCAGTGATCAGGACCGCAACACTTCCAGCATTTGTGGTGAAGACCAGGCCTAAACCACTGAGCATTGTGACACACTGTGAATGAAGCTTTCCCTGAAGCTTGGCTCTTGCCTTTTGTGGATGTGGGGGTCAGCCTCTCTAAGACCCCTCACCCTGGACCTTCCAGTTAAACATTCCTCTACCTTCACCAGGTTTCCTTGGGGTGGCAAGGTTGCCTTAGACAGGTTCCCCTTTTCAGATGCCACTTGCACCTTCTGGGTGGCATGTGCCGCTGCAGGTGTTCATATCCGTGACCTTGTTAGAAGGAAAGTACAGAACATGGCAGGAAACATATAAAGACAGACAATGAAAGAGATTCACCACAGGGTGGTGCTCCTGTGTCTCATTTTAAGTTTTTTTTTTTTCTTGCCAAGTTAACAATTATTTAAAATTAATTTGTCTGCAAAATGAACAGGATGAGGCCTGAAGTGAGATACAGTACTGCTGCGATTCCTTGGGATTTTTGTGCTTGTCTTCCTTTGTTGCCTCCTTACCCGAGCCATTTTCCCTTTTTAATATCTATTGTTTCAGGTCAGAGTCATTTGGCTGTCCCCTGCAGGAAAAAAGGAAACAAGACGCTCATGGCTCATTGGATTGGTTGGATGCTGAGACTTTCTACTGAGCTGGGGAAAAGGCACACAGTTTTGAACTGGGGACCCTGAGCACTGAGCTACACTGCCAGTGCCCACTGCTGTGGCCACTAAGGAAATGCTAAAATATTCTATTTGTTAATAGGAATCTGGTTTCTTCTAGAGTTCCTAAATAGACAGCAATGTGCCATTACTGAGTTTTCCAAAAGACTTTTTAACAAAAGGTTTAGAAGTTTTCTTTCACCTTGGTGCTAGAGAATTAAGAGGAAAAGCTCACAATGCCCGGGTTGTAACTCCAGCTCCAGGGGATCCAATGTCTCTGGCTTCCATGGACATCGGTACTCATGTACATATTCACACACAGAGACTTGCACATATACACATGAACAGAAATAATAAACATTAAGAAGCTAGGAGCTGGAGAGATGGCTCAGAGGTTAAGAGCACTGGCTGCTCTTCCAGAGGTCCTGAGTTCAATTCCCAACAACCACATGGTGACTCACATGGGATCTGATCCCCTCTTCTGGAGTAAAGGTGTGCACACAGCTCTAGCATTCATATGCATAAAATAAATAAATAAATCTTAAGAAAAGAAGCTATTGGCTAGGACTGTAGCTCAGTTAGTGGAGTGCTTGTTGAGCATGCACAAGGCTCTTAGTTTGATCTCAACATCACAAACCGGGCATGATGTTGCATATCTGTAATCCCAGCACTCAGGTAGAAACAGGAGGATCAGTAATTCAAATCTGTCCTCATTATATAGTAAGTTTGAGGCCCTTGGCTGCACACCAGACCACGTCTCAAACAAAGCAGATTTACCAAATTGCAGGAGTAATAGATATAATTGATAGAATTATAAGTGTGGCCTACGGTCTTTCGAGCACCTTCATAGTTCTCCCGGCACAGTTGCAGGTGCAGGACTGGATCCTTCACTATGACCAAAACTGGGAATGAGTCCTGAGGTCCTGGGACATCTTGCAGACTGAGGTAGCACTAGATGACCAATTCCAGGGTGAGGTCATAGTGGGCAAGCACTATCTAGATTGTAGCACCCAAGAGAGCCACTGAAGGAACTCGAAGGAAGATCCAAAGCAAGGGACATTTTCCTTTTGGGTGGAGTGGTGGGGACCCTCTGCTCTCACCTGCAGGATTGGATTGTGCCCCAGATCTCCCTAGCACTGAGCCTAACCCAGACACCTGATCTTTAGCCTTTGCCTGGTCTTTGGGTTCCTGGATTTCCCCCCTGCTCCTGGCCTCTAGGAAGCCCTGCTGGTGATAACAGGCTTCTTGCCTCTGTGGTCTGAGGCTGAGTGTTTCCAGGCCTGGAGAAATCTGCTACTTCAAAGGGGACATTGGGATATAGACAAGGAGAATATGTCAGCTGTTGGTTCAGAATGAGTCCCAGGTCTTTAGGACACATAGCTCAGTGTTGTCAAAGACTTGGGCCAGATGGTGCTTGGAACAACTAAGAGCAAAGTCATTGCCAAGATCCTACACCCCTAGTCTCATACAGCCTGCCTTCCATGTGTAATGCCATCATTTGTTCAGGAAATGGTTTATTTTGAGGCAACCTTGTATGAGGGAGCCTTGAGGGACCTGAACGCATCAGGGACCATGGAGACCCTAGCCTCTCGAAGACTGGCCAGTGGCCCTGGCTGCTTGGAAAAGCCACAGAAACTCTGTCTGTCAGGGCAGCAGGGCCACTGTGGGTTAGTTTCATATATTCTTGAGTAAGAGTGAATGTCCTGTTGTTAAGCCAGAACCAAAAAGCCCCAGGTCACCTTTTCTTATGGCCATTTAGCACCTGGTCACTCTGAGTGGGCTTCCTACTCTTGGTTGTAGACTGATTTGTTTAGATTTCTTCCCAGCATGCTTCTGGGGACCCTCTACACCCACAGGCAGGCCAACTGTCCCCTAGTGTGCCCTCATTCTACTGCCCAGCAATGGAGCGGAAGTCCCCATGTCTCTCCAGGGCTACCAACATCGCAGAACTTAGGAGCAGACCCTTTGGGAATCTTGGGTCAGAGGCTGTCCTGGGAACTGGGCCAGGTCACCGGAGTTATCCCTGGTTAGATGTGGTTGTAAACAGTTGAAAAGCTTGTGGCTAGAAACAGTGTTCATGGTGTGGGCATGCAAGTCTCTCTCCTCCCTGGGTGCTTTACAGTCTGAGCAGCCTTCCTGTGACAGAAACTGTTTTAAGGAACATAAGGCCGTAACTCATTAAATTCTGCTAACCCTCTCGATTATTTTACGTTTTAAATACGCAGACTTCAAATGGCTTTCTGGACATTTCTATCCCCACATCTGAAGATTCACATCTCTTTAATTCAGAGCTCATTTTGTGTTGAGTGTTGCAACGCTTGTCATTTCAAACTAATATATCAGAATCAGGGGAGAATAATTTACTTGGAAAACTGAGCCACCATAAATAAAATAAATAACAACACATAAGCAATTTGAGTACATTTACAGAATACTGAAGTGGAAGTCAGCAACTAATATATCAGAATCAGGGGAGAATAATTTACTTGGAAAACTGAGCCTCCATAAATAAAATAAATAACAACACATAAGCCATTTGAGTACATTTACAGAATACTGAAGTGGAAGTCAGCCGGAGTTGTGCATGATCTCGTTATTAGCTGACAACACAGGACTCATGCTAACTCGTGCTGGGGGTAGAGGGTTTCTAGAGGCCCCGCACCTCCCCCTCACCCCCCC